AAAAAAAAAAAAAAAAACAAATTTCGAGTTGAGAATGCGGAAATTACTGCTACCGCTTCCTCTAGGTTGCGTAAAGATTTGACAGCTGTATCGATTACTCTCATGTATGTAAATTCAAAACTTTAAAGCCGTTTATCTAAAATTGCAACTTGCATTTAAAACTTCAGGGAATCTTTTCCTGGCCCTTCGCCAACAGGTTTTAGTTTTTTTAGGAATTTAGCAAAAACAATTTTACATTTAGATAAGTGTATCAGTAATGCTGTGTTTTCCACCATCACCATCTCGAGTAAAACTTCATTTAAACCTCGCAGTTAATACGTCCACATCATTTTCATGGATGTTTGCGTAACTAAGATCGATTTTCAGTTGCAGCCAAGCATGAACTAGGGTTTACAATTTGATATTGCTTTCTGAAGCCGTAAAAAATCAGAAGAACACAAGCAAGAATGCTATGTTTAAGAGGAAAAAGTACTTAAATTCGTTTTAATCGTTTTGTAGAAGAGCGTAGAAATGTCGAAAGTTGTGTGAGAAAACGGGTTTTTGCTAAAACTTAATTTCAGTTTGACAAAATCAAATCCAAATGAAAATATAATATTATATTAAACAAAGGAAAAAATTATGAAATTTACGCTGCATTTTTGAAATAAACTGATAGTAAGAATGCACTCATGATACAATAATAAAAGGTTAAAACACGAGAAAAAAATTGTGCTTGTAAAAAATTTTTTTCTGCACCCGCTAAAACCGCTAAATCGCGTTTTTTGCTATAACTTTCTTATTTGATATCCGATTTTTTTAATCTCTATGTCATTGAAAAGGTCTTGCTCAGGACTATAATTGGCCATTAAACAGTTTTGGCAGCCAATCTAACCTAACCTCATTTCAATATAATATTTTATATACTATACATATTATTTTTTTTTGGGGCTAGATAAACTTTTTTTCAGAGAAATTTGAAAATCTAATATCTATTAATTTATCGTTTTTTTAAATAATAGTCCGCTCATTCGCGGTATTTTTATATTAAGTCACTATAAGTGGTTTAGACCATTTTATGCCATTCAAGATGATTTTTAAGATGAAAATTGTGGTGACCTTTTATAAATTCGCTTAAGTCGACATATACATTTTTTCCCTCTCGCCTACGAATTAGAGAATTTTCATTTTGAGCTGAACGTGAAAGATGCAATAATGAATATCTATTACCTATGCAAGTAATGAAAGCTGCTTGACTGCTACCATTTGGCTAATTTTAATGAATTTTATATTGTTATCAAATACACAAAACAGAATAAAAAAAACACATTCACATTACCTCTGTGGTATAGAAGTCTTCAGCACCATTTGCTGCGGAAACCAAATGCAAAATCTGATTATAACGATTATCACGCAATTCTATAGGATTCCAATTGTTGGCTGACATCATTTTCTCCCATTTATCTTTCGAGATATCTGTATTGTATAAAGACACATATGTACATATGTATGTTTATATTTAGCATGTGCATTCAACTAATTTTGATATAAAATATTTTTATTTATAAATGTACTTACATGCACTGGCATCCATGACGCCGCGATCACAGATAATCAAACAGTCACGTAGACTCGATTGTCCCAACTCAAAGTAGGTATTCTCGATTTGTATCATTGTACGTATTAGATTCTCTTGAAACTTAAAAGCTGTAATTGAAATGGTCAAATTAATCATTTACGAATTTCGAAAAATATCGCGGTTGGTTACCAACTTATTGTATATGTATGTACTCGTATTTATAGATTTGCATTTAGGAAGAAAGACTTGCAAGCAAAAAAAAAACACACAAAAAACATAGAAATTGTAATGCAGCTGCAACGTGGCCAATGATCGATTGTTTGCATATGTATGTATGTAGATAGATAATTGGATGGTTTGTGACTGCATTGCATTTTAGCAAATGGGTGGATTCAAATATCAATTAATGGATATGTATTTGATAACACTATAACGACGATTGTTTGTAGAAATTATTTGTGAAGAGATGAAAATGTTTTTTTTTCTTTTTGTTTTAATAAAAAAATGAATGCTTTTAGATGGTTGAGGCACGTGATACATATTTTACGTATTTAAGTAAGTAAAAGCCGTATAACCCTTAATAAATGCCAATGAATTCTGTGGTGCTCTTATGCTCAAATTTAGAAAAAAAATCTTATTCTTATAAAAGTATGTATGTATGTATGTATGTATGAAAGCACATTGTATAAAAGATCTTTTATTAAATTCATAAACTCCCACATCCTTTTATATAATTCAGCCTTTTGCTTTCGTAATATGTACGGTGGCGGTTAAAAAAAAACAGGGAACCAGAAACTTTAGTATAATAAAGAGCATGTTGGAGTAGCTAGGAGTTACCGTTGATTTTTGGCAATTTTTTGCTGAATTTTGTTTGAATTTTCCTACATTACAAAAACTTGTCGCACTTACATACATACTTTTTTCAATTAATTAATCCCAAAGGGTATAACGTCGTCTCGCCCAACCGACACGGGGGGCTGCAGTCCGCATGACATACGGAACTTACATGACACCGTTCATTTAAGCTGGCACTTTATTATATGTACCAAAGTTTAGTAGGCTACAAAAAACATACGAAAATTTGTTTCTAATAATTATAACCAAAAAGTTTGAAATTTTAATGAAACCTAAATTTTTGTAGAAAGTGTGAAATTTGGATTTACATGGTTTTCGTTAGATAATGAGCTATACTTTCATAAACAATAAGACACAATAAATAAAGAAAAGGAATATAGTAAAAATTCGTTAAAAAGTCGCGTCCCTATTTATTTTCCTGCCACTGTATTGGGCAAACTTTTTATTTCTTAATGTCACTCTAACTCATGATTCAATAATAAAAGGTTTGCCCAGAAAACAGTTTTCTCGCTGCCTCTTGACAAAATCGGTTCCCTTAGGAAGGCCCTGTGTGTGGGTGCGTCAAAACTCTAATGTCACTACAAGTGCTTTAAGCCAAATGCATTTTAAAGTAGTTGAAATCTAATGCAGAGTCGGATAATTGACTGATGCCTAGGACATCGCCATATTAAAGTCGACAGTTCGTTTCAAGGAAGAAAGTCAGATCTTCAACTAGTTGTGGTGGGTAAAAAATCGATACTTTACGATATTTAAACTAGTTTCTTTCCGTACTGGGTACTTATATATGTACTATGTATGCCGTCGTAATTTATATTGTTGTTTTTTATGATCAAATTATGCCGTTTATTTACACATAATCATTGAATTCTTTTATAGCGGGGTGCCGAAACCTGATAGCCCCATTTCGTTAGCAGAACGTTTATAAAGCAAAAAATGCAAAACAAAATACAACGATTTATATTCACACAGTATCAATTGCTAAAGCCAGCAAAGTTATAGAAAAATCTGATTTCACTTAAATAAAAAGACATTCGCTGTATAATGCCCATTATAGCAAACATTTTTGTGTTTTTGTTGCTGCTTGTTTTTTGAAAAGAAAATAAATTCGCTGCAGCCATTCGACAAACGATCGCGGCGAGACATACTACATATGTACATATGTAGAGATATTATAGTGATTTCTGTTTTTAATATTTATTTACGCG